TTCATATACCTCAATAAATACCTCACTCTCTTTAGTTGAAATAAAGTTAATTTTTTTATACCTCATAAATACCTCTTTTGTTACAAGTGTTAGAAAAACAACCTGGTATACCTTAAAAATCACCTTATCAGTCTGGTTGATACGAAGTGGATTTAAAACAACCTCAAAATAAGCTTAGGTGTAAATAAAATGACTCCATATACCTCAATAAATACCTCACTCTCCTTAGTTGAAGCAAGGTAAAAATTTTTATACCTCAAAAATACCTCTTTTGTTACAAGAGTAAGAAAATAAACCTGGTGTACCTTAAAAATCACCTTATCAGTCTGGTTGATTTGAAGTGAATTTTAAACAGCCTCAAAATAAGCTGAAGTGTATATAAAACAACCTCGTACACCTTAATTACAACTTTTACGAGGTATAATTTTTATTGCTGTTTTCTCTGCAACCTTAAATATACCTCAAATATACCTCAAATCAACCTTAATACCTCAAAAATACCTCAAATCAACCTTAAATATACCTTAAATTTTCGTAAGGGATAAGTTGGACAGGAATAAAAGTTTAAGAACGGATCGTTTATATAAACCAATAAAAGTTTCTATTTTTTGTTTTAATTATGCTTGTAATTTTTTACGCAGGTAACATAATTATTTAGAGGGCTGTATTTTAGTTTTGTTAGAGCATTTTTAGTTCAGAGTTATATTTTTAATCAGAGCTGAGGAAATTGTAGTCTAAAAGTTTGTCCTCAACTCCTTACTTTCCTGAGCACTCAAATCTGACCTATTATAGACTATTAAAATGTTCCTCAAATCGTAGAAAAATTGTAATAATAATAATAATAATTTTAAAATGAATTTTAAGAGTTTATTTCGCGACATTTCAGGTTAGACACACATGCGTCACGTCATTTGCAGGTATCCAATTAAATCTGATTTAAGTCACATGTTATAGGCATAATCACTTCGTCTCGAGTTGTAAGTACCCAATTATGTATATAGGAAAATTCCATGAATTGTTTGCTTCAAATATAATATACAGTATTAAAACGCATGTAAATCAAAATGTAATTATTAGAATATATGAATTTTTTTCCCAATGCCCGCCTGGGGAATGATATCGCCCCGATATCATTCCCCAGGGCAGATTTGTTGGCCACTTTTTAAGGGGCACCATATTAGGTGGGCCAACGTTGCTCCCATAGTAAGGACAGATATAGAGAAAGAACGAACATCCATTCCTTTCCCGTGATTCGAACCCATAACTTTTCTGATACAAGGTCAGCTCCCTGAACCTTACATAGGACGGTCGGCAAAATATAAGAATAGAATTGAATGCTTATAAATTCTATTTTTGTACTGAATGTAAATTGTGCCTCTTTTTAAAATCGTCTCTTATATTTTTCAATGTGACAAAAAATTGTTGCTCTAAATATTGATTTTTTGTTGTTCGAAACTCAGAAGTATACATAAATTTGCTTGAAAGTTCTTAAAGTGTTTGGCATTTGTCTTTTTGCCCTGATCCCTTCTTACTTGTATATAGCTTGTTTAATGGAGGTAAAGAAAACTATACAGTGTCTGCTTTTTTTGTAGACATTTTGTTGCGTTTAAGATACTTTTGCGTTAACGGTCATTGTTTCGATTCAATAGTATTTAAATAGATATTATTTGTAGAACTTTCAACAAATACTTTAGTTCTACATATTACTTCCATTTTGATGTAGCTTACTATTTTGTATCGAACTTGTGGCGCCCCATCTTAATTTATTTATTTTATTTTTTCTAATTTTTTTAACACTATTACTTAACCATACCTGCCAACATTCACTCTTTTCGAGAACAGATTTTTCAAGTGGTAGTAAAACAATTACCGAAAAACTATCTTCCTCAAAAATATATTTGTATTTTAATCGGGTTGAAATTCGCTATCGTAAGGACTAATATGCTTTTATATATTTGTTGCAATTATTTATATGTGGTGGTTGTCAAACTCATTTATAATTATTATTATAATTTAAAAAATTTAGCGGAATAACATGAATTTCGCTACCACTTTAAATATGGAAATAAAATCTTCCCGGAAAACCGGAAGAGTTGGCAGCTATGCTTAACGTATGGTACAAAATTCATTTGCAGTTGGGACTTATCACTGCTTCAATATAAGTCATTCAATAAGCTGTTCTTAGAATAGCCGAAAATTCTGAATATATATTACTGGTTAATGCTGTAATTATTTTGCAGATTTATATAGTGATATCATTGCACCTGGTATAAAGTCATCTTTATATGCTGAAACATGGCGCCGTGGAGCAGGAACGAATTTGAAACCAGCATGCCAAACTGATTACAAAATCATTGATATTGTGGCTATCAACATGACTGCTAATGATAGAGGGAAAAATAAGAACATTTATTTCAAATCTACAGAAGATCACAGTAAATGGGCGGTTTCTATTGAGCGTGGAAACAACTGGGTTTGCATGGCTGATATGAATAGAATGGTATGTTTTTGATGATTAAAACTATTCATGTCATCTAATTCATTGTGAATAGCATTCTACAGAATTTATGTATCAGCATTTTTAGAGTTACGAGGAGTAATTTAGAGGTATGACTGAAAACTTTATTTTGAATCTCTTTTTAAAAAATAACTGGTACAGTCTCAATAGAACTTTTAAACAACATAGAAAAATTATATGTTCAATTAACAACATGATTCATGTTACTGTTTATCTGCTATCAACATGGAATGGCGTAAAAGGAAGAAAATATTTTTAGCTGCTACTAAATTTTGTTTTTCAATGTTCATTAAGGCTTCTGTCAAGTTGAAAATAAATATAATAATTTAAAAAATTGTAAAAACAATTTAAGAAGAAAAAAAACTTTTTAAGGTATATAGGGCTAATCAATTGGAGTGAAAGTCCTGTGCAAAATGATTAAATGAGCAACTTTTATCGAGTACTTTAAGAAATTAGGTGATTCCTAGATTGAGGTACCATTAAAATTTCACATAGGTTTTTTGGTAAAATTTTACAATTAGGAGCCCCTTTTATTTTTTTGATATTTTATCTTCTTAAAATTACAAAAAAAAAAGAAAAACTTAAGCGAAATTTTCCAAAAAAAGAAGGAAGAAAAAAGAAAAAACAGAAAAGCAAATGGAAGATTTTACATACAGTTAAAGCTCTAAGGTATGCAGCTCAACCCAAGCCGCACCAGATTCATCACTTTCACCGTTGTTTTTATGAATCCGAATAAGAATCTTTTTATGAATTCACATTTAGTGCTAAGTGGTACTAAGATATATCAGGCACGCATATAACAGATATATTGATTATTTTCATGCGTCATGAGCTGGAGAAAAAAACCGTTCACCCTATCATGAAACTTTTTCAAAGTTCAAAAAATAAATCGTATTAGCTCAAAGGAATTATGTTTTGGACACCAGAAAAAACTAATATTTAAAATAACTTTTAAGTATTCATGTCTTTTTATAAATTTTTAAAAAAAAACGCGTTTAAAAAGTTTGTAGCTCGTAACATATGCCTATTTTATTTTAGAGACCGTCTTGCAAATTGTTGCTTATGTCAAGAAGAAAAGTGACAGTCTTATTTAATTATTTGTTAATTAATTTATTTACGCTCAAAATATATTTTAGTTGATGTATCGGCTTTTTTCCTTATGTAATTTTTAATATTCATAATTTCATATATTTTTTAACTGTTTTGCATTGCTTCGATATATTGGCTCAGCGTGATAATGAACCAAGCCTACTAGCTGTAACGTAAACACGACATCTCGTTTAAAATGTTATCGCTAAATAATATATTAGGGGGCCAATTAAATTTCCAAGTTTTGTCATCTTAAATTCTATAATTTTACCAATTACACTGGGGAGAAATTTTTTTGCATTTATACAAATACTGTATCTTGCCGAATTCTAGAGAGGGGATTTCAAATCTAAATTTAGTTTATCTTTGAAAACTATTTTACTATTTTAAAACTATTACTATTTTAAACAATATGTTAAAACCATTCTAAGCTATTTATTAAAAAATTGTTACAGCTATTTTTTTTATAAATAGCATTTTAAGTCTATGTTTTAACTAAATGTATAGGTTAAAAGTGTTATGTATAACAGAGGGCCACGTAAATTCAACTTCTAGAGGAGTTAGGACGCACCATCAGGATTAAAATTTCAGAGGAACCCTTGTCTGAAAATGTCACTCTAAGCGGCTTGGGGTGCTTCTATATTACTAACTGTTTCTTCGCGCGCTTCTGAACATTTCAATGTAGGGTAGCGATCCTAGTCGAATACGACGATCTTTTTTGGCATGGATTCCTATGCAATTTTAATCCTGATGATGTGCTCCAACTCTATACAAATAAATTGTAATCTATAAAAATTTTTGCCTCATTTTTAAAGAATGTAATTATACATGACAAAATAAAAAAATTGAGCAAAATCGGTTGAGTAGTTCAGGAGAAATTGAATTTCAAAAATTTCAGATATTTAAAATCCGATTTCTCAGAAACTATTCAACCGACTTCGCTCAAAGTTTTTATTTTGCCTTGTAAAATAAAATTCCCTAAAACGATGCTAAAAAAATTGTACCTCACAATAAAAGTTTTTTTGCCCATTATTTAATGAAATAATGAAAAAATAATAAATAGTTACTAAAAGTTTTATTTTACAAGAAATTATTTTGGATAAACGAGTTTTATAATTGAGGGCAAATTTTTTTAAATTTGTTTAAAAAGTTCTTGAGATATAGCGAAATACGCAAAAAGTAAAATTAAAATTAAGGATTTCTGGAGAGCTCTCCTGACCATAATACGAGGGTTGCTATTTATATTTCTGGCCTAATAATGAAAAAACAAATATGTAGGATCGAAATTGGTTTTATTGTTTTTCAAAATATTCTCCATGATGATCAATACACTTTTGCATGCGTTTGAACCAATTTTCAAAGCACTTTTTCCAGTCCGATTGAGGTAACTCCAAAACATGCGTTTTGAATGCATCAAACGCTTCTTCGGGGATCGAAAATCGTTGTCCACGTAATTTATTTTTGATGTGTGGGAATAAGAAGAAGTCATTGGGTGCCAAATCAGGGCTGTACGGCGGATGACCCATCAGTTCGATCTTTCGCTCCGTCAGAAATGCCTTTGTTTGAGTCGATGTGTGAGAGCTCGCATTGTCATGATGAAGAATGATTCGCCTGTTCTTCTGCTTTTTTCGAATTTCTCCGATGACTTCTGGCAAACAAATGGTCGTCTACCATTCAGAACTGACCGTCTTGCGTTGCTCTAACGCCACTGTTGCCACATGACCGTTAATGCCGAAGAAACAGGCAATCATTTGTTTCGATGTGCTTCTTCCTCGAACAACTTTTATTAGTTTTGCCTCGTCTTGGAAGACCCATATAGTTGATTGCTGTTTTATTTCCGGCTCATATGCATAGATCCATGATTCGTCACCTGTATAGATGTTATACACAGCCTTTGATGTATGTACCTTGAACGTATTTTTCCAACATTTCCTTGCACCAATCGACACGAGCCTTTTTTTGAGCGTTTGTCAGATTATGCGGGATCCAACGCGAACAAATTTTTTTTACGCTCAAATGTTCATGCAATATTTTATTGATGCTAGTCATACTAATGTCCAAAAACGCCTCTATCTCACAGTATGTCACATGACGATCTTGCTTTATCAGTTCACGCACAGCATCGATCTTTTCTGGCACAGCAACGTATTTTGGACGACCTGCACGGGATTCGTCCTGGATCGAACATCGACCACGATTAAATTCGTTATACCAATTTTTTACAGTGCTGTAGGATGGCGCTTTATCGCTGAATAAAGAATTAAGTTCACCGAAGCATTCTTGTCTTGACAATCCGCGTCGAAAGTTAGGAAAAATAATGCTACGAAAATGTTCACGATTCAATTCCATTTTTTGAAAGAGAAGAACTTTTCAATTTACTGTCAACAACTCAAATGAAGCTAAAATGGTAAATCGTCTGCTGAATTTATGTTTAAAAATATCAAACTTTCGATTAAAATCGTCTGCGGTCGCCTAGCAACACTTACTGTTGCCACGGCCAGAAATATAAATAGCAACCCTCGTATAGGGACCATATATCCCAGATTGCGGCTACCCCCGTATTTTTGGGAAATCAGAAATTTCAGAAATCTGAATCTGTGGAAAAAAAGGTATGTTTGTTTATTCATAGCAAGTACGTTTTTGTGCCTGGTTTCGTGACTTAAAATATTGTATGCACTTATTAATTAGCATATTTAAGGTCATTACCTCGAGCCATTAAGATGGAATCCTAGAACGTGAAGAGGTAATAATTAGATTAAAAGTTAATCAGGGTGGTCTGCTTTTTTTGCGTACTGTATATCTCAATAAAAAATAGCTGTAGTTTTAGAAACAAGACTAATTTGAAAGTTAAAATCCACACACACGAATTAGGTATAGTATAAAGATAAAGTATTTGATAAAAAGATAAAGTATTTGTATAAATGCAATAAAATCCCCCCCCCCAGTTTTATTAATAGTCTAAATCAATGAAAAACAAATTCGTTTAATTATATCCATATAGATTTAGATTACAATTAATCTTTATGAAATATTAATATCAATATTTTATTTGTAGGCATCTCAGCAGAGAAGAGGTGGTGGTGCTCTTTGCTTTAAATCTTCATATGCTTCGAATGCTTTTAAAAATATCATTGCTGAAACTGATCAATGTCCCATCTGAATATTAATGTTATTAAAGAATAAGCTGATTTCATTTAACTATCATTATATTAAAAAATATTACTGAATCTTGAATCATGTTTATAAGTGCTAATAAAATGTGTTGAACTCAGAGATCTGCATATCATAATTGGATTGAAGAAATATTTGTCATTTGTCTCGTAGGATAAATATATCATTGCATCTGAATTGCTCTGTACAATAACATCTTTGCTTACCTTGTTACTGCACCGAGCCCTTTATTTGCTGTTATTGAAACAAAATAAGAAATAAAATAATTTAAAGTGATTGGAACCAATTTTTTGTGACTAACTTATGTTTTTTTCTTTAACGAATATTAATATAATAAATATCAATAATATATCATATATATGAATTATATGCCGTGTAAACTCATTGAGTTTTGAATTTTAACTTTGCTTTGAGTAATAATTTGGAATTCTGTACTTGCCTTGCTATTGCACTGAACGCATTATTTACCTTTTTTTTGGAAAAGAAAACATTTTTAAAATGATTAACCAAATTGATCAACTTTTGTTTCTAAATGAAAATAAATCTAATGAATATCAACTATGCATTGTGCAAAAGATGTGATATTTAAAAAATAAAAATTTTGTGTGAATGCAATTAGCTCTTTTTCCCATGTGGTTTAATGCCATCAGTTTCGTTTAGAAAATCTCAGAGAGGACTAGTTAGAAATGTTTACTATCAGTGGGAAATGAAAAAAAAAGGAAGCTTCTGAGATGAAAATAAGTAATATATTTATTGCTATTTTTTTCTGTGTATCATTTTCCTTCATATTATTTCAATTAAGTTAAGTGCATTTATTTCGATAAAAGTGAGTATTATCATTTCACTTTGTTATAAGTTATTCAACCATTCTAGTTATTTCTTTCTAATTTTTTGCTAATTATTCTTATATATATATATATATANTATATATATATATATATCATTAATAATCCATTCATATTAGTCCAGTAATTACAACGAGAAAGGTGTTCTCTCGGAAAAATTAATATCTAAGGTGTTTTCGGACAAAAAAAAATTCGTTGTGTTACAATAAATAATATCTGAAAACTCTCATGCCCTACTCTATGTGCAACTCCCCGGGAATTAAGGGCAATTTTAGGGAACCGATGAGTTTATTCTAGACAGGAGGCAATGTTTACTTGGTATTTTTTCAAACAGAATAGAATGAGACTAAACACGAGTCAATACATCGACTTCTTAAAATGTTCTAAGCATTTTTATGTATAAGAAGTATTGCTTTCGACTTTCGATGTGACTTATTTGCACTTAGTTTTTTGCTATTGATCAGCTATCAAAATATGTAAAATATATTTTTTTGATACTGCTATGAATGACATAAAATTCTAGAATATAGAATTAATAGTTTTGAGCTTATAAGAGTTTTTTTCCCTAATAAATGCAATTAAAAAGTATTGCTTTATATATATAAAAAAATAATGAAATAATTTCAACTTATGAAACATAAACCCTTTTGATACGTGTTAGTTAATCGATTAAGCGAGACGAAATACGTAGGAAACAATATTAGTTTAATATGTACCCTTTACTATTTACTTTAAGAAGTTGCTGTTTATTCCGCTCCTAAAATTTTTTTTTATTATTAGGCGCTCCAAAATTCATTAATAAAGGATGCTAAAGAGTTACATTTTGGTATTTTTTGTGCAATCAAGCTTTGCATTAAGTTCTTATGTGAAATCGGTGCAAATGGCATTTTGTTTTTTCATCAGTGCTAACAAAACATTGATGCTAGATTGATTTAAAGTTGGAAAGTGAACATTGAATGAAAATATTTTTGCTTAATAATACAATACATATAGATAATCAAAATAAATTTGTCTGTTTTTGTTATATATTTTGCTGACAACTCTATAAATAATTGAAAGTATTACTTGCATAGAAAAATTATGTAGTATTTTCAAAAATTGTATTTAATTTGTTTTAAATTCAAGACTTTTTATTACACTGCTTTTTTATTTAAATGAATAAAAAATATGTTACGTATAATAATTTTTTTTAACACTTTTAACGCTTTTTTTATTACCTGAAAGCTTTTTAAAATATCACTTCAAGCTGTAAATTAGAGTCGTATTATTCTAGTAATTATGTTGTTTTTGTTATCTAAGAGAGTTAAAACATGTTTTCACCGTAGCAAAATTAGTATTTAAGTAATTGAATTATGATACAAAATTTAAGGTCTTAGTTAAAATGTGGTGTAAAGTAATAAGCTTTTAGTTGCAAAAGTTAATATACTGCAGTATTTTAATCATAAATGAAAGTTAATTAAAAAATTCATAAAAGAGAGGATTAAATTGAATTACATAAAACACGTAGGAATTGGATATGAAATTGAATGGATTTTATTTTTTCCCATTGAAATGAAAAGTCGGATTTTAATAGTGCTGCCATCTAGCATTTTATATATTTAACATACAACATACAGTGTGAAAATAGAGATATTGCAATATGGGTCTATTTATAATTCATAGCAATGAGTGAAAGTGGTAGACTTACAATTACATTTCAGCTTATTTTACTTACATAAGAAAAAAGGAAAAAGTGAATAAAATGACTCACAAAATTCAGAGAATTAATATTGAGTTTCTTAAATTTTTTATGAACTTTTACTATTTCTTAATACATTTTTTTTACAAAAATCCTTTCATTTATTTTTCATAATTACTGTTTTATACTAAGTTAGTTTACATATAAAGTGAGTTTGCTATACAATAAAAAAAAAACTTCATTTTATAACAGTTTAAATGTAAACAGATGTCAAGTCAATCTGACAAAACGATTGAAATTACTCAGCAAATAATCGACTACAATCAATGTTTTTAAGTAAAGTTGATTGAAACTGACTTGGTATTATATAGGCTATAACCAGTTTGTCAATTAGACCCAGCAAGAAGAATTTACACATCATCAGCACATTTCATGTAAACAAATCGCAACCTTAACTGCCATATTGCCATTATCTTGAAATCGCACCATTATTCGCCTTTAAACTGATAATAATAATCCTGAAGCACTTGTTTCACATTTAAAACATAGATGTATAAGCTATATGTATAAGGTATAGTGTATTGATTTAAACAAAAAAAAATCTTATGTTTATACGAAAGAGTTAATTGATTGTTTTCCTTATTCTTGCCATTAAACGCATTTTTCAAGTCTACATAAGTTGAAATTTTGTCACGAAAAAGGATTCAAATATAAAATATGTAATCATAAAAATCATTTCTTTACACCATTTCAAGTTTTATTTAGGAAGCGAGCTAAGACATAAAATTATGTGTGTAAAGACATACATCATAGTGTCATATTTGAAAGTTTTACAGCGGCCTAGACCAATAGGCCCATACGCCAAATACAATGGAATACATTAAAAAAGGTCAACATACCCTTATATATAAAATACAAAAAATATACCTAGAAGAATCGGGATGGCAACAGGCCATTTACATAAATTAACATAGTAATAAAATGTTTAAAAATATCAGGTCAACAGACCCTTATATGGCAGGTCAACAGACCCTTATAGCCTTAAAAATATCATAGTGTCATATGTGTAAGGTGTCCAGTAATGATCTTTTGTAATATATATGTTTAGAATTTGTGTCAAAAATGATGTCAAAAAGCATGGATAGAGTCGTGATGGCTCAGGGGATAAAGCATTTGCCTTCCAACGGGTTCGAACCCATTGGATCCCAGCAATGGCTGGTCAATACGAATTCCGCATACAGCTTGCATCGACTACAGTGCTTATGTAAAATATCCTCAGTGGTCGACGGATCATGGGTTCAGAGTTCCCTTGCCGTCAGGCTAACCGTGGGAAATTTTCATGGTTTTCCTCACCGTGTAACGCAAATACGGATTAGTTCCATCAAAAAGTCCACCACGAAGGCAAATTTCTCACAATAATTTCCCTTGTCTTTTTGACTGTATTCAAAATTTCAAGGCCACGGAGTTGGACATTAGTAGTTGTAAACTCAAAAAATTGGGTCGGCTGTTCAACGACGGTTATAAAATTTAAAAAGTATGCGTAGTAAGAGACACAAATTAATAGTTAAGCGAGGAAAAAACAAAAATATAATTGAAGTCTAATAAATCATTACTGAAGAAGGCGAGGCTGAAAACACCAAAACCTGTTTGATTTCCTGTTAAAATTTAACGATGTATGAATGATTGCCTATCAATTTTTTTCTGGTTCTCCTTAAATCAAACGGGTTTTGAAGTTTTTAGTCTTACTTTTTTTATTAATGGCTTATTTTTCAATAGAGTTTTTACTTTTTCTCTTTTAAAATATTTATTTGTAACCAATAGTGGGTATACTTATTTGACTTCATTATTAAAAATGATTCTATAAATACATATTAAAAGCTGCTATTACGAATAGTCTAGTATAATTGTAACGTCACAAACATAAGTTTATAAAATTATATCTCTTTACTAGTCAACAAAATACCAACCCAGAAAAAACTAATAGAAATTTTGTGTAACTGATGAGCATAATATTAAGAAAAAAATACTTTAAAAATCAGTAATTAAAGTAACTTAAATATGATCATTCTATAGCGAAGCTTAAAGAGCATATTTGTTAACGTTCAACCAAATATATCTTGGAATAAACCTCATGTATCAAACATGATGAAGCATTGCATAATTTTATGACGTTATTTACTTAGACATATATTTAACCTTAATAAACTTTGGTTATTTATTCCTTAATAAATATGCAAGTCCTGCTTAATTAAGGAACTAGGAATAGGTAAGTCGATATTTCATATTTTTGAAGTTTATTATAGTTATTAGTAAAACAATGTTTTGGCATTAAAGATGAGACCAAATAAATTATGTGCGATGAAAATTAAGTAGATTCTTTTGATAACCATATATTAAAGAGTTAATTTAATTGAGGAAGGTGAGGAGAGGAATTTGTTTACTTATTTAAATTGATTCGTTATAAATCCGAAAATCAATTTACCAATCCATGGTAATTATTACTCAAAGTTTTTTTAATGACTGCCCCTGATATACATTTTTAGAACACTTTGAAAAAATGATGTAAAAAAAATATACAAAAACGTAAGAAGCTATCGCATCAAATCAATCACTACTAAAGCAGTGGTGAGCCAGGAGATGGAGCTCTCGCCTACCTATGAGGTGGCCCGGATTCGGATCCCAGCGATGGCTGGTCGATTCCAATTCCGAACTCGGCTCACACCGATCATAGCGCATTTCCTCAGTTGTAGACA